AACAACACACTAGACCCTAGCACTTTGAGCTCAGACTTCTAGCCTCCCAAACTATAAGAGAATAAACTCCTGTTTGTTTAAACCATCCCATTTGTTGTATATTTCTGTCAGAGCAGCACTAGGTAACCAGAACACATGCCTGAAGACAGAATTGTTTAGAGTAAAAAGACTGGGTGTGTACTAGTCTGGGCAGGTAGATTAGTGACAGAATCTGACTCTGCGACTATAGGCTTAAATACAATTGTGCTCTCTTCTCTAATTCCACCCTGTGTTCAGCCTTTGTAGCAACATGACATCAATGAAGTCTTCCTTAAGGCTAAAGATGTTTTTTTTAAAAAATCTCTAATATTATCCTTTGCATGATATGTTTATTATGAGAAAGCAACAAGTTCTAAAGTTTTCTTCATGATTATTTTGTTTCTTTTAGTTCTCAGGGGCTCTGGTATATGGTGGGAGAAACCAAACCACAACCAAACTTACTCCCATTGAGTCAGATCCAACTCACAGTGACCCATCCTTGGGTTTCCCAGGCAGTATCATCACAGAAGTAGATTGCCCAACCTTCCTTCCAAGGAGTGGATGGTGGGTTTGAACTGCCAGCCTTCTGGTTAGCAGTCAAATGCCTTAGACCCTATGCCACCAAGCCAATGTTATATTCCTTCTGCCAATATTTGGTACATATCAATGTGATGAGTGTAGTCTTAGTCCTGAAACACCCCCTATGTGAATACATAGACTGCCTATGAGAGGAGTAAATTGGGAAGCATCTGACAGTGAAAGGCTGACATGTGTAAACAGAGTTAGTACGGGAATGAGAGCAGAATGGTTGGGTGCGTCTGTTTGAGTTGACAGCCTCTCCCTAACTCTTACATTAAACACCCAACTAACCTGCAATAGCCCTCCTAGGAGTTAATCTCAGTGCAATTTCCAGCATTTCAAAAGTGTCAAACAGAAAGCGGCACTCCCCTGGAAGGGGAGGTCTTTAGTTCAATTTTATGAGACTAACTCCAACCACAAAACAATATAAGTGCCCAAAGGTAGACTAGATTTTATAAATTACTGACTCTATTAGGCCATGTAAATAATAATGAATATATAACAAGCTGGCACAGAGCTTTTTTTTTTTAAAAAAAAAAAAAAGGATTCTTCAAAATTTCTGGCAACTTGAAGTGTTGGCAGAAAGGCTGTTTTGAATAAGGTAAACCTTGGTCTGCCAGGAAAAATGATTTCAGTCTCTAGAAAGCTATTTTATGCATACACTTCATTAAACAATAGAGTTTATGTTAATGGTTCCTCTGATTTTCCCCTGTTGTAAACTCAACTAGTCTAAGAACGCTTTGTACCAGTCCCTGTGTCACAGGGTTTCTGAAACTGTTGTCTCTGACTGCTTGGATCACCTCAAGGAGATTTAAATGCAGATTCTTATGCAACACCTCAGAACTACTGAATGAGGCTCCATTGGGGCAGGGTCCTGGAATCTGAACTATAAAGGAAAAACTATTTTTATTGTCATTACCAAGAAGCAAGAATGGCCTAGATTTTTCTTATATTTTTCTTCCAGCTCTCATTTTCCCAAACTAACTACTCAAGATAGAATTGATAGTGGACTTACATATTCTTCTCAGTAGGCATGTTCCCAGATGAATGATGTCATCCAAAGAGTCAAAAACTTAATCCAATGCCTTCATCAACAAGTTATGAACTGCCAAGGGATCAGTTGAGGGTGGAATTTATTCAGAAGATAATTACAAACCAAACTTCTTTAAATACCCAACTGTTATTTACTTTTCTTTCTTTTAAAATTTACCATTTTTTCTCCCTATTCATCTTGTGCAGCTTTTCTTTTCTTCTAAATGTCCCCAGATAATGAATAATAATATTGTCTGTGTATGACAATAAAAGATTATGACAATGCCACTTTTATAAAACATGTCTTCCAAAATAGTTTTGTGTCTGGCTTATAAACCTCACATCTCCACAACCCATTTAGTTTTATATTACTTAAGTACAAATAAAGTTATATTTTGGATACAAATGATTTCTCTATTTTCTAAATGTTTTCTGTGATCTTAATTTACAACTATTTGCAAAATATATATGTGTTATACTTTATCATCTATGTTATATATTAACTATTTTTTATAACTTATTGATATCTGTTCTGTGAAAGAAACTGATGTAAAATTTACATCACAATTAATGGCAGGGCTGTGTGGTTGAATACAAAGAGATGGACCCTAGATTTAGAAGACCTGGGTTCAAGTCCCAGTTTATTATCTGTGTGATGCTGGGAAACTCATATGTTTCTGGGTCTCAGCTAATAAAATACAATTGAAAATAATTATTTCATAGGGAATTTTTAAGGATTAAATTAAATACAGAATATTTTGATTACTAACTAACACATTTGTGAATGCCTAAATGTGCTAATTCAAAAATGGTTGCAGTAATACTGACAGAGAATTTCAGAAATGCAAGCTGGATTCAAAAGAGGTTGTAGAACGAGGGATATCACTGCTGATGTCAGATGGATTTTGGCTGAACACAAAGAATACCAGAGAAATGTTTACTTGTGTTTTATTGACTACACAAAACTATTTGATTGTGTAGATCATAACAAATTATGGATAATATTGAGAAGAAGGGGAATTCCAGAACAATTAATTATACTCATGAGGAACCTGTATATAGACCAGGAGGCTGTCGTTTGTTCAGAACAAGGGGATATTGCATGATTTAAAATCAAGAAGGGAGTGTGTCAGGGTTGTATCCTTTCACCATAATTACTCAATCTGTATGCTGAGCAAATAAAATAGTGAGAAGCTGGACTATATGAAGAAGAACGTGGCATCAGGATTGGAAGAAGAGTCAATAACAACCTGTGATACACTGATGACAAAACCTTGCTTGCTGAAAGTGAAGATGATTTGAAGCATTTACTGATGAAGATCAAAGACTACAGTCTGCAGTACGTATTACACCTCAATATAAAGAAAACAAAACTCCTCACAACTGGACCAATAAGCAGCATCATAATAAATGGAGAAAAGATTGAAGTTGTCAAGGACTTCATATTACTTGGTTCTACAATCAACACCTTCCTTCCGAGGAGCGGCTGGTGGGTTTGAACCGCCACTCCTCAGAAGGAAGGTTGGGCAATCTACTTCTGTAGTGATACCACCTCGGAAACCCAAGGAGGGGTTGCTATGAGTTGGGGCCAACTTGACGGCACATAACAACAACAACACAATCAACACCAACAGAAACAACAGTTAAGATAACAGATGACGTACAGCACTGGGCAAATCAGCTGCAAAAGACCTCTTTCAACTTCTGAAGAGCAAAAATATCACGTTGAAGAATATAGTGTGCCTAACACAAGCCATGGTATTTTTAATCGCCTCATATGCATGTGAGAGCTGGACAATGAAAAACACAAAACATCAACTCTTCTTCAGAAGAAGAGTTGATGTTTTTGTGTTGTGGTGTTGTGGAAGAATGCTGAAAGTACCATGGGCTGCTAAAAGAACTAACAAGTCTGTCCTGGAAGAAGTGCAGCCGGAATGCTACTTGGACGCAAGAATGGCCAAACTTCATCTCACCTGGTTTGGTCATGTTATAAGAAGGGACCATTTCCGGGAGAAGGATATCATGCTTGGTAAAGTGGAGGGTCAAAGAATAAGGGGAAGGCCCTCTACAAGATGGATTGACACAGTGGCTACAACGATGGGCTAAGGTATATAGCAAGGATCGTGGAGCTGGCCCAGGAACAGGCAGTGTTTCCTTCTGCTGTGCATGGTGTCGCTATGAGTCCGAGACGACTCGAGGGCACCTAACAACAGCAAGAACAATAGTGCTCAGACCTCAACAAGATGGGTTGAAGCTACCACATATGGACTCAAGTATAGGAAGGATTGTGAGGATGGCACAGGGTCCAGCAGCTTGGCAGTGTTTGCTTCTCTAGTACGCAGGGTCTCTGCGAGTCAAAATCAACTTCACGGCACCTAGTAACAATAGTGCTAAAGAAGGCTTTCTTCCCTGAAAAGCCCTCCCGTTTAGTTTTATTTGGTTATTGCCCCTGCTTAACCAATTTAAGAAAATTGTTTCCAAGTTCAGATCATCCAGTATTCGCATTCAGAGAACACTCTTGCCACCCAGTGGTCACTAGGGGATATTGCAAGTGAGTTCTACGTGTGACAAACCAGCATGATGAAGCTGAGGCAGGCAATTAACACTGGGGACACCACCAGCCTACTCTCTTTCTCCCTGATTTACCCAAGAGCATCCAATCAACAAGAACAATTTAAAAATCTTTGTCTTCTAAATCGCTAACATCTCCTCCCTATGTTTCACAGCCAAACCCCTGCAGAGAAAGCTGAGGCCTTCAGTGCCAGGGTGGCAGTAGGAAACTAACAGTAATTAATTATCAAAATATTCCCTTCATTTTATATTTGTTTAATCTTTATAACTCTGTGACTAGCATAGCAATACCTTTATTTTGTAGGTTACGAAACAGAGGCTCAAATTATAGTTCAGCAAGTTTTCTAAGGTTGCCCAGTGTGTGAACAGCAAGATAGGCTTCAACCTGGGGCTGTGTGTGTCTTGAGCCACATTTCTCTTCATCACCCCAGACGCCTCCTTTTTTTTTGGTCCCATCTCTATTACATAACTTTCTGCTTCTCTTTCTATGGAGTTTTAGGATGGTATTTTGTATTACAGACAACTACTTCCAGCACATGTGAGTCACTTGGGGAGATTTTTTGAAATATGAATACCTAGGTGTTCTCCAGAACAGATGAAACCAACACTCTGGGGGAGGAGGCGCAGCAAGTATAATTTGTATTCTTCAAGTGATTCTGTTGCAGTGTTTGGGGTTGAAAAGCACTTTTCAATAATTGTATGGCTCATCATTTTTTTCTATTCCTTTTTAATATTAATCAGGAGTGTAATCTTACTATGAAATATCTCACTGACATATAGTTTCTCTCTTGTAATTACAGGTAGATGAGATATTTATAGGTTCGGCCTTGAGCAAGCATTATATCAAGAACCAAGTGGTCAGACTGACGTATGTATGTTTGGGCAAAGTACAGTCATGAGTCTGGAGGGACAAGGAGCAAAGGAGTCAGGGGACATACATTTTTTCTGTGCCTGTTGGTAGATTCTTGGTTGGAGTTTTGCATAAACATTATCTCTATAAACGTCTTGAAATATAAGGCTGATCACTGTTTTGTAAATGAGAAACTAAGACTTGGGAAGGAACAAGGAAGTGATTTATTCAAAATTCCCCAAGGGAAAATGTCCCCAAGTGAGAGAACCAGGATTAAAATGCCCATAGGCTGATTGTAAGACCCAGGACATACCAAAACTCTAAGCCTTGGGAAAACTCAACAGTTTATCATTCATGTATACCAAATTATATCAGATATGTCAGTTTGAAAAATATTAAGGGAATTGACTACAAAATGAGACCATAAATTTTACCTGTAATAAGGCTGTAGTGGGAGGTGGTATGTTCAAATTAAAAAAAGAAGAAGAAGAAGTGTTTCTATTATAATAATGTTTTGTAATATTGTGTTTTTGTTTAATAGAGGGGAAGGAAGACGGATACCAGATTAGAAATTGCCAGGAGGTTTAAATTATGCTATTTTGAGAATTATATAAGAGAACATACACTTAATAGGCACAGACCCAAGCTCATCAACTTAATGAAAAAAATATTATATATATATAGATATAGATATAGATATAGATAGATATAGATATATATATGTATAATACATACATGTAGGAATGAGTTCAGGAGAGTACTGAATGTATTTGTTGCACCTTTCTCTTGTGCATCCTAGTCCAGAGAAAGATGGTGTGAAAGTAGATATCATTATGGTGTTCCAGTTCTCCTCTACTGAGCAAAGAGTAAGAAGAGAGAAGAAAATCCTTAACATATTAAATCGGAACATAAGGAACACAAGAGCCCTGCCAATAAATACCTCATCAGTAGAACTTAATGGTAAGTGCCTTATATGTGATATAACGTACTTTATTAAGTTCATTTTATGACTAAAAGTGACTTGCTATTGTTTCCACTTCAGATGATGTTGCTGTTGTGTCATCAAGTCGGTCTGATTCAAAGAGACCCTATATACAACAGAACAAAACATTGCCCAGTCCTGTGCCATCCTCACAGTTGTTGCTGTTTGAGCCCATTGTTGCAACCACTATGTCAATCCATCTCATTAAGGGTCTTCTTTTTCACTGACCCTCTGCTTTACCAAGCAGGATGCTCTTCTTCAGGGACTGGTACCTCCTGATAACATGACCAAAATATGAGAGGTGAAGTCTCACCGTCCTTACTTCTAGTGAGCATTCTGGCTGTACTTCTTGCAAGACAGCGTTGTTCATTCTTTTGGCAGTCCATGGTACATACTCTTCACTACACCATAATTCAAAGGCATCAGTTCTTCTTTGGTCTTCCTTATTTGTTGTCCAGCTTTTGCATGCATATGATGTGATTGAAAATACAATGGCTTGGGTCAGGTACACTTTAGTCTTCAAAGTGATATCATTGCCTTTTTAACACTTTAAAGAGCTCTTTTGCAACACATTTGCCCAATGTAATACATACTTCGATTTCTTGACTACTGCTTCCTTAGGCATTGATTGCAGATCCAAGTAAAATGAAATCCTTGAGAACTTCAATCTTTTCTCCATTTATCATGACGTTGCTTATTGGTACAGTTGTGAAAAGTTTACTTTATGTTGTGTTGTAACCCACATTGAAGTTTGTAGCCTTTGAGCTTCATCAATAAAGGCTTCAAGATCTCTTCACTTTTTGCAGGCAAGGTTGTGTCATTTCTATATCACAGATTGTTAGTAAGTCTTCCTCCAGTCATGATATTGCACTCTTCTTCATATAGTTCAGCTTCTCAGATTACCTGCTCAGCATAAAGATTGAATAAGTAGGTGAAAATATAAAGTCCTGATGCACACCTTTTCTAATTTTAAACCATACAGTATCCTCATATTCTGTTCTTACAGTATTAAAAATTCTATGGGCAAAATATTGAATGATTCAGGAAACAACAAAAGAAAATGCTGATATTCAACCATTTCAGAATGTAGCATATGATCAAGAACCAATGGTATTGAAGGAAGAAGTCCAAGCTGCACTAAAGACATTGGCAAAAAAAACAAGGCTCCAGGAAGTGAAGGAATATCAGATGAAATGTTTCAACAAACAGATGCAATGTTGAAGGTGCTCACTCATCTATGCCACCAAATTTGGAAGACAGCCACCTGCCCCCAAACTGCAAGAGATCCATATGTGTGCCCACTCCAAAGAAAAGTTATCCCACAGAACGCAGAAGTTATTGAACAATGCCACAAATACCACACATAAGTAAAATTTTGCTGGAGGTAATTCAAAATGATTGCAGCAGTGCTTTGACAGGGAACTGCCAGAAATTCAAGTCAGATTCAGAAGAGCATGTGAAATGAGGTGTATCATTTCTAATGTCACATGGATCTTGTTTGAAATCAGGTAATACTAGAAGATGTTTACCTGTGTTTTATTGACTATGCAAAGGCATTCGACTATGTGGATCATAACTAATCATTAATAACATTGTGAAGAATGGGAATTCTGCTCCAAATAATAGTTAGAACTTAGCTGGAAGGAATTTTTATGTTAAAAAACTGACATTTCAAGCTTTAATATTCTCTGATGAAAGCATGTCTAAAGTTAACCATCAAGTGGTTTTACCTGCAGTAATTGAATGGTGCTTTTGCAAAATAAAGGCAAATCTTTACCATCAACAGAGGTTAATCTGGCCCAGCCACTTCCTCTGTGACTAAGCAGGTAGAAACACTGGGAGTTTAGCAACAAATGCATTTCTGGGTGGTACCATCCTCAAACAGAAACTCACGTGTTGCCTTTTAAAAAATACCAATAGTTTCTGTATATACACTGATGTTATAAAGACTTGGTTAACTTTTCCCCCACAAACATTTGGATAATATATTAACTTTGGAGCCATTAAAGCCATCTTATAAAAAGGTTTTTAAAATCACTAATCTAGCAAAAAAAAAAATTACTGGAACCACTTACACATAGTTCCACTTTTTTTCTTCACTTGTACCTCATTATATCAGTATCATTTCTCTAAAAAGACTTTAATCAACTCCATTCTCTATGCCCTTTATATGCAATAGCTAATTTAATTCCTATATTGCTGCTAAGTAAGCAAATTCCCTTTAATAGATATGAAAGGGGGACAAAGAAAGAATTTAATAAGTAAAAGGAGCTAAAATTTAAACATAGATCTCACTCCAAAACTACTTTACTACCATTTCTCCAAATGTGTTCCTG